GGGTTGGGTGAGGACGCTGGGCATAATTCCTTACACCTGTTGCCCCTGTTAACGCCTAACAGTATAACGCGCAGGGACCTGATTTAAAAGAGGGCGTGATCATCTTTTTACTGTGGACTATAAACCAAAAAAGGTTTTAATCATATGACTAAAGTTTCCCTGAGTAAAGCACCCCATGACTTCGACCCGCGTGGTGGACCGGAAAGAAGCGGAAGGCCACAGTGATATGACTAAAAGAGCCACTGAGAAAAACCAACTCCAGAAGAAATTTTCCTCATGTCTCATGACCACAACCCTTCCTTGTTTTACACCTCTTTTTTTTTTTACATAATGTACAACGTTAAAATCTGCACGTTCCCTACACTTTGTGAGGTCCGGCATCTCTCCACCGTTTTTGCTAACACCACCGAATCCAGCGCTCGCTGCCGCGCACACACCATGTAACCAGCGCCATGGAGCGAGTCATCTTAAGACAAAAACCTGTGTTAGGTGATTTTCTTTGACGGATAAACCAACAACCACCTCTTGTGATTTTTTTAAAATGGTGTGACTACCCAGCACATGTACGCCGCCATTCTTTAGCCTGATGATTAAGGCTCTCGCTTCACACACGGAGGGCCCGGGTTCAATTCCCGGCGGGGTGGAAACATTTCGACGCGTTTCCTTACACCTGTTGTCCTGTTCACCTAGCAGCAAATAGGTACCTGGGTGTTAGTCGACTGGTGTGGGTCGCACCCTGGAGGACAAGATTGAGGACCCCAATGGAAATAAGACAGACAGTCCTCGATGACGCACTGACTTTCTTGGGTTATCCTGGGTGACTAACCCTCCGGGGTTAAAAATCCGAACGAAATCTTATCTCTTATCTTATCTCACTCAAACCCAGCACAGCAGATGCTCCATGGCTGATACCCAGCACCAGTAAGTCAAGGGCTACTTAATTACTAATAAGAGGCACGGGTGCGCCAGCTGTTACTTTATCTCAGTTCCCAACATGGAACGTCAGTAGTTACCGAGCTACTAAGAGGCTCTTCCCAGCGCTTACACCTCGGTTAAGCAACATTTTCCGTTATGAAGAAAATACCTCGGCCCAACAGATCACTCGTGCTGAGACAGTGACATGAACTTCCACACTACATTATTATGTTTATGGAGAAGGGCTGACCCCTGGGGGTTATACAGCACTCGAAGAACGGAAGGTAATCAATTATTACCCAAGGAAGGGAAAGGGAGCTCTAGTTCACTGGATAAAGAGCCCTTTACTGGTAAATATACCAGGGTATGAATATACCACGTAGAGCACTTCGAAATATTTTAAGCGAGGGAAATTGATATACCACGTAGAACGCTGCGAAATATTTTATACCATGTATAATGCTATCTTGTTGGTATTGTAATGTCGAACTAGTTTTAAGTGTAATGTAAAAGGACACAAGTGCAACTAAGTTTTAAGTGAGGGAGGGTAATATACTACACAGAACACTTCGAAGTAATTTAGGTAAGCAAGATTAATATACCACGTAGAGGTTGGTTTAAGTGGTGCTCGTAAATTCTTTACTAGAGGGTAAAATAAATTGGTGCTCCCCGAAGAACTCTGCCATAACCCGGTATGCCACTATACAAGGCCATTATAACTGTGCCTGCCATGCACTTCGAGGCTCTTCGTAAAGTATAAATAACTTGAAATTGAGAAGCGAGCATCCGAAAATGAATGATGGACTAAGCTGACAAATAGTGATTAAGTCTAGCTGTGGACGAAACGTCACAAGAAGGGTTGCCCTACATAGTGTCTTTCTCACTTTCCGAAGCTGATCTCGATATAGAATCATTGCATTAATGGTATTTAATACCGACTTGGCAGGTCCTTCTCAAATTAACCTATCTCACCACAGTTGTATTACTACTACTACTGCTGTGCAAGAAAGGTATAAAATACCGACAATATGAAAGTTAAGACACATGTGCAACATCTGGATATCTTTATTGTAGTAGACGTTTCGCCATCCAGTGGCTTTATCAATACAGATTCTAGGACATAATAGGAAGACAGTAGAACTATATACAAAAGATGAGGTAATCAGTCCCTCGGCCTTGGAGTTAGTGTTCACAGCATGGTGGTGGAGGAGAGTCTGGAGCAAAGGCAAGAAGACTGGCGCTTTTTATAGGCGTCAGTGAATGGGACGGGCAGCAGACGAGGGCAGTCACTGGTAGGCGGGATTCCCCAGTGGAAGTAGGTCCTTCCCAAAGAGATGGGTTAGTTGCAGCAGCCGTGAAGAAGGTCTTGTAGATGTCCTCTGAACCAAGATTCCATGATGTTGCAGTGTCTGACAAGTTGTGCAAGAAAGGTATAAAATACCGACAATATGAAAGTTAAGACACATGTGCAACATCTGGATATCTTTATTGTAGTAGACGTTTCGCCATCCAGTGGCTTTATCAATACAGATTCTAGGACATAATAGGAAGACAGTAGAACTATATACAAAAGATGAGGTAATCAGTCCCTCGGCCTTGGAGTTAGTGTTCACAGCATCGTGGTGGAGGAGAGTCTGGAGCAAAGGCAAGAAGACTGGCGCTTTTTATAGGCGTCAGTGAATGGGACGGGCAGCAGACGAGGGCAGTCACTGTATTGATAAAGCCACTCGATGGCGAAACGTCTACTACAATAAAGATATCCAGATGTTGCACATGTGTCTTAACTTTCATATTGTCGGTATTTTATACCTTTCTTGCACAACTTGTCAGACACTGCAACATCATGGAATCTTGGTTCAGAGGACATCTACAAGACCTTCTTCACGGCTGCTGCAACTAACCCATCTCTTTGGGAAGGACCTACTTCCACTGGGGAATCCCGCCTACCAGTGACTGCCCTCGTCTGCTGCCCGTCCCATTCACTGACGCCTATAAAAAGCGCCAGTCTTCTTGCCTTTGCTCCAGACTCTCCTCCACCACGATGCTGTGAACACTAACTCCAAGGCCGAGGGACTGATTACCTCATCTTTTGTATATAGTTCTACTGTCTTCCTATTATGTCCTAGAATCTGTATTGATAAAGCCACTGGATGGCGAAACGTCTACTACAATAAAGATATCCAGATGTTGCACATGTGTCTTAACTTTCATACTACTACTGCTGCTGCTACTGCTACTACTATCACTACCCTCTCGCAGCTTGCCACCTGACTCCTGCCACTATGTATACTAGTTCTTAGTTATCTCTGTATTAGGACGGAAGTCATTCGTGGCGAAACGTTTCCTCTAATAAATGTCCTGAACTGTACAAAAGTGTTTTTTCCACGTGTTGCCGGTATCACCATACCATTTTTCAAGACTAATATTGTTCCAGTCACGGTATTGTGCCTTTTTATTCCTATCAAGACTATGGTACTAAACACCCGCTCCCTGGCTGAGGGACAGATTACCTCATCTTTTCACTCTTTTCTGCTAACAGGACATTTCCGACAACTTTATTGCCTGACAAGTAATTACGAGTGAGAAGGGTTTGATTTGAGAAGGACCTGCCCAGCAGGTTAGCTACAATGCCTCTCAATGATTACCTCCTCCCTTCTACTAGTGGGCCCCGCCTTTTGTATAGTCAAGAATTTCTCCCCCTGTAGATGAATGATTCAAAGAACCGACATGTTGTTAAATTAGACACATGTGCAACTCTTGGGTATCTTTACTGAGGAAACGTTTCGCCACACAGTGGCTTCATCAGTCCATACAAAGGATAAACTTGAAGGAGGAGAATGAGGTAATCAGTCCCTTAGCCTTGAGTAAATCTGGTCAGTCTATCAGTCTTGATGTAACTGACCACATCGACTCAAGGCTGAGGGACTGATCACCTCATTCTCCTCCTGTTCTTCAAGTTTATCCTTTGTATGGACTGATGAAGCCACTGTGTGGCGAAACGTTTCCTCAATAAAGGTACCCAAGAGTTGCACATGTGTCTAATTTAACAACGTGTTGGTTCTTTGAACCATTCATCTACAGATCTGTTTGTGACTTGAAAAAGCCCACTGTGTGGGCGAAACGTTGTCAATAAAGGATCACATTATACTACATATGTGTTTATATTTCCACATGCCTCTTACTTATCTAAGTACATGAGCTAGATCTATCATTAGGGCTGTTAGTGGTGGGAAAAATTATTTACTTTAATAAGAGGAAAACACTAAACCCATAGTGGTCATATAGCACCTGGGAAATGAAAGGCATTAGGTTTCAATGCAAGGAATGGAAGGATAAGTAATTCCTTGGATCAAGAGCTGCTCACCGGTGGGAAACGATGCTATAAAAAAAATACTTGCAGAGACGCAACAGTCACACTTGAGAACACGAAATTACATACTATTCAGAAATAGCAAGAGCAGGAGCACTCGCGTGTGACAGTACTAGGTTTAAGATGAATTCAAATATTTTATTTATTTTATGCGGTATAGATAATGTAGTTTATATGTAGCAAAATATGGTTAGGCACAAAAGACAGCCACTAATATGCAGAAGATAGTAGGTAAAGAGAACTTTTACCATCCTTAGCTCCATTCTCACTCACAGGATGGTATTGCGCATGTGCATGCTCTCAAATGGCAAAAAAAAAAATACTTTTTTTTTTTACCAGTTGTGCTGAATATCAAAATGGTATACAATACCTAACTGTTGCCTATGTGTCTTACCTACCAACCAGTTGTGCTGTTGTAAACGATTTATCGAGGTGTTCAGCAATATACAAACTATATGTTGTTTTCTCATTTTTCTCAACAATCCTGGTTTTTTACTTGTATTTTCACTTACAAACACACCTCTATCAACAGGCCAAGTGTCTATCAACAAGTGCCTTTGGCAACTAGTAACACTACTACTACTAATACACACACAGGTAGCTTTTATTCCCACAATATAACTTTTTTAGAATACGATAGCCGTACACTAAACAAAAAGGTAAGATAGATACTCATGTCCATGGACTACAACAATAATAACTTTAACCCCTACAGATGAAAGCCATGACACCTCAGAAGTCGAAGGGGATGTTCGAAGAGGAGGCCGCGGCTAAAGCTGAGGGTGAAGGCGGTGGTGGTGATAATGGTATGAGTACGCTCAAGGTGGGAGGTGGTGTGCCACAGCTTGAGGAGGTCACATGCGTCTCCTACCTCTCGGTTGCCGACGATAATTCCGAAGACCGGAGGCCCTCCACGGCAGACATTGTCATCGAGAAGCTCCACGTCAGTGAAAATATTGTTCCTCTGTACAACTTACTAACAAATTACAGACGAAACTAGACGTTACAGTCCCTCGTGAAACATTATTAAGTCTGGAAATTGTCCAGGAGGGACCGAAATGTCTACTTTCATCCCCACTGTGTAGGTTACGTATGAATTGTTCCACCCACAGTACTTTTTTCTTTAGTTCTTTATTTAGGTAAGCCATATGAAGAGTTAGTATAGTAGAAAAAACCTTAAGGTGATATACACAGGAGGCTTATTAACCGTGTATAACCCCATGTAGTAGTAGTGTATATTTACTTATGGGTCGCGTTCACCAGGACGCGCGACCCACAACAGGATAGGATACCGTTTTCTTCGGGTTTTAACCCCGGAGGGTTAGCCACCCAGGATAACGGAAGGCAGTGCGTCATCGAGAGACTGTCTTATTTCCATTGGGGTCCCCAATCTTGTCCCCCAGGATGCGACCCACACCAGTCGACTAACACTCAGGTACCTACTTGCTAGGTGAACAGGACAACAGGTGTAAGGAAACGCGTCGAAATGTTTCCACCCCTCCGGGAATCGAACCCGGGTCAGCGTGTGAAGCGAGAGCTTTGCCAGCCAGGCCACGGGGCCGGTGAACTCCAAGGTTCTTATAAGTAGTTTATATTTTATGGAATGTAAGCAAGGTAACATTTATTAAAAAATGCCTATCTGTCGCCCATGTGACAGGTAGACTATTGAGCTTTAAGGTTTATAACCTGGGATAACCAAACAAGCCAGTCTGATTCATTTCACTGGGGTCTAGGATGTAATCTACAGCAGCCGACTTAATTCCTAGGTATTTATGTACTGCTAGAGGAAACAGGAGTAACAATTGTAAGGAGATTTACCCATACGAAAATCGAACCCGGATCATATTTGCAGTGAGCCCATAGAGTAGTTCTGCACTGCATGCAGAGCACCGTATAATATTCAATGCCTACTAACACAAATTTTATCTTATAGGTTGAGAAGGTAGAAGGTGGGGGAGTAAGCATCCAGGGAGTAGTCCTCGCATCCCATTGTCATGTTACCCTCTGCGTGTTTGGGGTATTCTTTATTGTTGCCGGCGTCATCTTATCTTACGTCAGCTACAGTGTCAACATGCAAGTAAGTCACTTCTACGTCATGCTTAAATATTAGCAGTAATTTGTGGATACGATATCCTATGTAAACACCATCTATGAAAATACTACATGAGTTAAAATGACAATTCTGCTATAAGGCTACCATACAATTACACTCGACTGTAAATAAAATCGGCTGTGAACCTACCAGATAAACGCATTTAACTGTAAGGCTACCATATAATCGGCAAGGAGGCTACCATGTAAACACGATCATTCTCCAAAAGCTCACCTATTCGTAAATTATCACGAAAATAAAATAACAGGTATAGTTTACGAAAACAAAAACAGACAACTAAATGAACCTGTAGCTTAGCTTCCCAAGTGAAAAAAAATGGCGACAGGTAAATACAGTTTCATGACAATCATCTTTCAATGTTTTTCCCACACCCTCCCTTTCCTTCTCGACGCACAAAAACATTTATTGATACACATCTGTGAAATTAGACGCAATTTATCTCAAAAAATATAAATGTAATTGCATGCAAATTACTCAAAATGTTTCAATACAGGTATATTTGTCGCAGACAACGGGCCTCTCGTAATTATTAGCATTGGTAGTAAGGGTGAACAGCGGCTTACTCAAAAGGAGTCGATGACCCTTCCGATATGTCTGTTCCAACCCATTTAGATGGACATGAAGTATTGTTAGCATGAAGACAATAAATCGATTTAATACAGTACGTACTGAACTTCACATCGCAGGCAGGAGAACAAGGGAGCGAAAGCGAGAAACAGGATGAAGTAGAGGAAGATGAGGAGGAGGAGGTGCAGGAAGTGACGACAGAACTAACACCAACAGGAAAGGCAGAAGAGCAGCAGGATGGTAAAGCAGGACCTCACCACGAAGTGTCCAGGGTGGCCCAGATGCGTGTGATCGGTCCTGCCTTCCTAGCCGCTGGCTTCCTCATGCTCTGCCTCGGCGTAACCCTCTTCGCCCTCGCCAGAAAGGTATGCTAGCTGCTTTTTTTTTTATTATTTTGTAGTGTTTTACTATCGTGTCTCCTTGTCTCATTTTTCTCCTTCCTCCTCCCCCACGCCCTGCCCCTTAATCCGCCTCTTCGTCCTTTCCCTACCAATACCTCCAGTTCCATATTCACCTCCCTCTCATTAAATGGACCGTTCACTTTGGAGTTAATGACTGAATTTGTATTTTTGTTTTTCAAGAGATGAAACATGTTCATGGCAAAAAGACTTAGAAGCGTAGAGATGGTGGTGTAACAACTTTAAGAGAGAAGGATAAACACTCCGGCACTATCTTAAAAATGTAGGAAAACACAAATACATTATAATCAAGATTGCTAGCATTTTACAAAAGTCTGCAGGATTTTATGCAAATAGATAATGGTTATTTTTAAAGTAATACTTGAATAGCGAAACAGCCAAGGATGGAGCTGATCTCGCCAATGGTGTACCAATTACATAGGATGAACTGTACTATTTATATTACGGCAGGTTCACTGACGGGTTGAGTGATGCTGCCTGATTGACTCACACATAGGAGCAAAATCGAGTGCGTGTGTGTTAGCATATTTTATGTCCTATTTTTGTCTTGAAAAGTGTTGCCATAAAGCTGGTGGGAAATTATGTCGCTTCAACAGTAAATATTTCTTCATTAAATCCTTCATCATCGCCTCAACAGTTGAGCCACGACGAGAAGGGCAAGCAGCGAGCCCTGGCCGACCAACAGTTGTGTCAACTAGAGAACAGCTTCAGCTACGCTAACACCTCCAGCTCTCCCATGCACACCTCCGCCCCAGCACCACACCAGGTGAGTTTAGCACCTGCATTACATGTGTGATGAGTAAATCCATATTCATGGGTGCTGGTGCTAGGGTATAATTACCATTATAAATTATATTAACAAGTTACAATGAAGTTGTAGAACAATTCATAACCCACAAGCTTGATTGTTATATTCATGGGCAAGCGCTGATCAGGTAATCAATTTGTTTTGAGGAAGAGAAAGATCACCTTAACTCTTTCGATCAAGAGCCTTTCAAATATATTAAGGGACTCCCCTATCTATGAGGGGCCCATAAACTGAACAAGAAACTAGACGTTTCGATCTATCGTTGATACGGATACTGGACGAGTAGTGACGTAGATAGCTTGATCTCCGATATGTGATTATTATTTCTATTTTTAATTATTATTATATTCATATGAAGCGCTAAACCAGTGTTAGCATTCAGTCCATGGAGTGATGGAGCTCGATACTACGTCCACTAAAAGTGAGACTGGCGTGCCTCTTAGTTATCGGTGTACGCTAAGTCCGTCATATTATGTAACACTATCTATGTCTTGTCTTATCCATGTACATACATATCTGTAGTCCTGACCATGTGTGACACGGCACGTAACATACGTACCCAAACATGCATATCTCTAGTTGGTATATTCACCGAGTTTACTTTAACTAATTTAGGGACTAGTCTTGAAGATAGTCTGCAGGTAAATTGCTGGATGACTCGTAAGCAGTCGACAGTCCTTGAACCTAACAAACTGGTCTTTGTAATGAGCCAAGTTAAGATAAAAAGCTCTATATTCAAGTGTAAGAAAATCATTTGTGTCACAGTCCACCTGAGTAGCTGCCTGTAAGTTTTTTTTTCCCCTCCACATTTAATTGTTACCACTTCAACTAGACTACAATGGGTGAAAAATAATACGTGTAAGGACCCCAATGGAAATAAGTCACTCTGTCTGACTTTTTTGGGTTATCCTAGGTTCTCTACACATATGCTGCTATGTATGATAATTCTATGTAACTGTATTTGTGTATACCTGATTATTATTATTATAATCAAAAAGAAGCGCTAAGCCACAAGGGCTTGTGTGTATACCTGAATAAACTTACTTACCTCTGTTTCAGCAATACCCGATCCTGGCTGTACGTCGCAACTCTTGGTGGGTAGAACCAACCAAGAAAGAGGCGAGCGGCATCTTCTACAGTACAGAGGAGCCTAAGGACTCCTCTGCGCAATGTGCATTACCTCCTGGGTATGTCTATAAATTCCATTTAATTTAACTTGTTATTCATTCTTCTGAAAATTTCGTACATGATTACAATATAACGTTTTCATCCCACATTATGATTTGAAATGTTTGATTAGTTTATTGTAATTTTCTTCTATACTTGTTAATACTCGTGTGCTGAACTCGGAACGTAACGAGTACAACGGACAAGTGAAGTAACAGCAGCAACACACACAGCAAGAGACATTATTGAGCTTCCCCAGCACTCAGGCTTAATGCCCAAAGCTGGGGTGTGGCTCCAAAAGGATCCTGTAGTGCTTACTGCTTTTGCACCTCCTGACGCTGTCTGCTGCTGTGCAGCTGCCACACCCTTCGAGCCCAGCGTGGGCGGGGTTTGTGGCAGCCCAAGGTGCCTGGCTTTTCCCTCCGAGCCCCGTGGGGGCGGGGAATGGGGCTAGGTCTGGGCACAGCTGGTCCCAGAAGATGAGGAGGTACTTGTATCTCCTCCCATGGCAGACATTGGCCTGAGACACTCCCTCGACAGGGAGCCAAGGCCGGGCCACCTCTTGGAAAAGGCCTGGGCCGGGTGATTATACCGGCGAATCTACTGCCTACCTACCGTAACGTAAAACGTCACATTTATAATTTATTAGGATTAAGTAGCTTTTGTTTATATCTGCCGGAATTCCTGTGCATCCTAGGAACTGTTCAAACCATTTAAACACTTTCGTCAAGTATTATTATCATTATTAAAGATTAATTTAAGCGTATTACCACAGCATTATACTGTCATAGAACAAATTCACTTACACTATCCGAAGTAGAAGCGTATTGTGCTTTTTGTTTTTTAGTCAACTGTTAAACAAGCTGTATTTTCTTAGATAAATTGTTTCCATATTTTTATGGATTGATGGATATATTCAAGGAGAAATTAAACAGCGCACAAATTTTTAAACTTGCCATAAAACTAAGTTGCAGCCTAACCTAACCTTGATAAAATATACCTAACAATGAATATTAAATTAATACATTCTGCCTATATTATTATTATAATCACAAAAAGTATTTGTTATAACGCACGCCATATATACGGTGTGTATAATATAGCATTATATGTAAAGTTCACAAACTTAAAAAATGCCAATTCCGAAAATTTATGCGTATCACCCACTGATTTAACACTGGAGAGTATACTTTAAGCCCTATTTTGGGACTAAAATATGCTTGATGTTAGTGAAGACGTGAATTTCAGTCTTGATGATTCTCATGCCGTAGATATTACTTAAACATCTAACTAGTCTGTATCAATTTTTTTTTTTTTAGTGAGTGTGCGTCGCCACCGCCACAGATTACAAGTCATGGGCTGCTGGAGCTGCTGCCAGAGTCGTCAGACACCTTCAACTACAAAGGCATCGCCTGCTTCCCACCACCCACCATTACGTGAGTCAATGACATTATTCTCGCACTTCTCCCCGCCAGTCTTCCTTCATGGAGAAGTGCCTTGATGCTGGTTAGGGACTCTTTGATAATAAAAAAACTGAAGCTACTCTCCTCTTCCTCAGATCAAACCTGATCACCGCTTTTTCCACAGGCACTGTATGACCCGTATGAGTTCAGCGCTTCCGCATGAATATTATGATGATAATAATACTATTAATAATAATAATAATCCCAGCCTAACTGGACGAAGGCCACCGATCCGCAATTAGCAGACGAAGGATCGAACCTCCACTATTCTTCGTAACCCACACAGGTTTAACGTAACAAAATACTCCATATACAAGCTACTGGAGGATCCTCCCTCCCCTCCCCTCTGTGAACATTAACAATATATGAAAATGAACATAGCTCATCTGGTATATTCTTGAACACAATTCTTATTTCAACTGCTTCAGCTGATAGAATATGCCGAGTACAACTGCTTTGCTAGTTGTTTAATGTTAATGACAAAATATCCATCAAGATATTTGTTGAAACGATTTAAATGTTTGGGTTACTTACCACAGGCTGTGTTATGTACATCTGAAGACGGTATACACTGTTCGTAATACTTATTCGTTATTCTAGCTTCCAATAATATATATATTTTTCACACTTCAGAATAGCACATACTGTCTGCATTCCCGAAATAGTATATACTGTTCATACTCAAGACAATACACTGTCTACACTCGAATAAAGTATATAAAATATAGTGAATCACCTTCACTTACCAACACTGTTTACCTCCTCTGCTGACTACAGTCACGCTAAAAACATAAATAATTCAGTTTTCAAGATCTCTAAATTAGTTTGTACTAACGGTCATTCACTCGCATTTTAATCAAATACGACACCAATGAATATAGAAGCTTCAACTACGAAAATTTTCACTTTATCACGAAGGTTAGAGTGTCGTGGCCAGCCTGGGCACCTGACAACAACCTTCTGGCAAAAATTGCAAAACTTCAGCAAATGCTGATTTTTGCTATTTTTTGGTGTATGTTGTAATGTTTAAAAAAATAACAATATGTGACTTTACACATGAATAAAACAATAATGGTTGAAAAAAAGTGATAAACGAAAATATTTCAAAGTTTAAGCAAAGGTAAATCTGGCGGCAACTTTTGAATGTTGCACCTGATAGTTAATTAGTTCTTAATTTAGAATCATACAGCGGTATTACAATACATATAAAGCATTTTTTCTTAGACAATTATTATTATTATTATTATAATCAAAAAGAAGCGCTAAGCCACAAGGGCTATACAGCTTTTCTTAGACAAGAAAAAATACTATATCACTTGTAGTGATTACTGAAACTAGGATACGTACACTTCCTCAAAATGATTTGTATATAGACGTTAGCTTATATAGTTTTTTATATATATATATATATATATAATAATATTTATTTATATATATATATATAATATTATATATATATATATATATATATATATATATATATATATATGCAAGGAATTCGCGAGAGAATGCGAAATATACACAAACACTGATCCTTATTGAGTCCTTAACTGTGTAAATTTTTAGTGGCAACATTCTTATATTTCTATTTATTAGGTTCATCAAACCTATACCTGGAGAGGGTTTCGGGGGTCAACGCCCCCGCGGCCCTATCCTTTTTATGGGCCTGGTTTTAAGGATTTCAATTATTATCATTATCAAAAAGGAGCGCTAAACCACAATTAAGGATTTAAAAAAATGAACTCAGTACGTGTTTTCACGAAGCATTTCAGCCATCCTGATCCTGCTTCTAGATTATTATAATCAAAGAAGCGCTAAACCATAAGGTCCGGCTTCTAGAAAGAATTAGAATAATGTAGAAAACTATATTTCTACATAGTTTTACTTTCATTACACCTGAAGGAGCTATTTAGATTCTTTGTCGTCACTCGTAATATCTTAGGTACTTCTTCAACCTCGAAATGTATATGCTCTTACTACAGATACTCACCTATTTATGGATGCAGGAGTCGAGTCACAGTTCCTGGTATATATCTCTCACTGTATATTCACAAAGTTTACTTTTACCCGTCTTAAAGATTAAAGTAACTTTAACTGATGAGCTGTGAAATTGGCTTAAAACTTAAGACTCGTGTAATCTTATTGTTCCTTATAATAGTTTTTAAACTGTATTAAATGCTACTGGATGACCTAGTCTTAATAATATGCGCGAATTTTAATATGCATAGAATGTTACCCGTTGATAAAACCTATTATAAAAACAGCTATCTAGCTCAAAGACGTCCATGAGTGAGGCGATACTCAGGAAAACCTAGTGCATGTACCAGATATATTTGTGTACTTGATGAAGCCCATACATGGGTGAAATGTTGGTTTAAAATGACACGTGAGCAAACACTAGGATATATTTAGAAGTACTCAAGGTCCCAGGACCGAAACGTTTTCTTATAAATATGTTCTAGTTTGCTCAGGTGTGCATTTAAACCAGTTTGTCGGTATTTATTACCAAGGTTTATACCACATTGTGAACCGTTGTACATTAAAGTTGTCCCTGCATACTGTGTCTTATTCTGTTCACTTGATGTTGATAATCGTTTCCTTGTAATTTCATTGCAGAACTGCTATAACCAAATTATTTTCTTTTGTATTTATTATCCCTTTTACCGGGATAATTTAGTGCTTTATACATGTATTTGACAAAGGTAGAATCACATTATACAGCTGATATATGATATTCTACAAAGTTAAAGTAGGAGTTGATTATCTGTGACACCCATCATGTAAGATGGTTTTCCAAATCAGTACTTCATCACAGAGGATAACTTCTCAAAATAATGAAATTTGTCAGCCTGAGAGTGAACAGGACATCTTCAATCATTCCACTGTGTGTGAAGTAGCTACGCCATTTTTGAACATTTCCTCTCAGCAAGGATGAAGTTATCTTGTACATGAGGACAGCCATTTGTGGGTATCCTATCATACACACATCATCATTATTATTATTACTATAATCAAGGGGAAGCGCTAAACCCATGGGATTATGCAGCGCCTGTGGGGGGGGATGTGGAAGGTATTCAGGATTAATTCTGGAAACCGGAGCCCAGATCAAATTCCCTAGATCAAGAGCCCCTCACCAGCGTCAAGGAACCTCCCTTGAGTGGATGCAAACTAATAGTTTAAAAATAGCACAGATCAAAAAATAAACTACAAGAGGAGTACAGAATGGTCATATAAAGGATTATTATTATTATTATTTATTATTATTATTATTATTATTATTAATATTATGGGGAAGCGCTAAACCCGTCGTAGTTATACAGCACCTGGGAAATCTGAGAACATCAAGTTCGATTCAAGGAAGGTGAGAATAAGTTCAGTTCCTTGGATTAATTAAGAGCCCTCACCGGCATCAAGACCCCCCTTCCTTGAGGAGCTCATACAGGCGAGGCAATAAAACGTAAAGTGTTTACAATCATTATGAGGAAGATGGATTTGATGAGCACTAGCGATGGAGTTATTAATTTATCAGTTAAACACTTCAGTGTCATTTAATTACACCAATATTTTCAGTGTATCGTCATCGGTCAGGGAGCAGCAAATATCTCCTCTACCAGAGTGTGACGACGAGTTCATCACGATCAGTGATAACCGGCCACCACCCAACAGTGCTGCAGTACCATCCTGTGCCGAGTATCGCTGCATCACTCCACTGCTGGCCAGCACGGCCCAAGAACTGCGCACAGCTGTTCTCGTGCCTTCCAGCGCCACTACTGTGCGCACTCCTGGCACTTCTGCCTCTTCCCAGCTTCCCCATATACAGGTAAATATAAAGATATCTCTTCATAGCCATAGAAAACACAGTACATTGCATGGGTTTCCATTCTATATGGCTTCAGTTTTAGGAAAATATTGTATTTCATATTCCAAGGAAAGCACACTATTATGAAAAACAATGAGTTTTATGAATTGAGAGGGTGGATGGAAATTTTTGAAGGTTGGTACAGAGGATAATAAGGTGGTTGTGACGTATGGTGGGCAATGGGTAGTGAGTGATAGTGTACTGGAAAACAAAATGGAATTGCTGAATATCTCTGGCAGACGTCAATCAGGAGAGGAGGCAATATCATTAATTTCGTGGGGAAGAGCTAGCTTTGAGCTACGGGCTTTCAATTACTCAATGCCTTTAAGGAAAAACTAGAGGACCTCTATTAATTTAGAAGAGTGAGGACCTTATTAGTCTGATGTCAGTAGTTCGATCCCCGGAACGGGTAGAAACGCTGGGCATGTTTCCTTGCACCTGCTGTCTCTGTCTACTAAGTAATAAGTACCTGGGTGTTAGTCGACTGTTGTAGGTCGCATCCTGGGGAACAAGATTAACGAAAATAAGACAAGACGTTCCTTGATGACACAATAAATTTATTGGGTTATCCTGAGTGGGTAACACTCCAGGTTAAAAATCCGAACAAAATTTTATCTTTGTGTTCGGTCACGACGCTGCTCAAATGATTAAGAGCCACTTCTTACTTGTTAAGACAATGTTCGTTTAAAATACAGATATTTTAACCATGTGGCTGTTGAAACACATACAACTGTGGCTGGTGGCTTTGTAGTAATTAGTATATGCACTAAAAATCCTCTGGTCGTTGACAGGTGACAGCAGCAGCACCGCAGTCGCCAGCAGTGCCAGTGGCCTTCCA